TCTCTCTCTCTCTCTCTCTCTCTCTCTCTCTCTCTCGCTCTCTCGCTCTCTCTGTATGTGTGATTGTGTGTGTGTGTGTGTGTGTGTTTGTTGTGTGTGTGTGTGTGTGTTTGTGTGTGTGTGTGTTTGTTTGTATTTGAGTGTTTGTGAATGTACATAATATGATCTTTTAAACAAGATAGCCTTTCATATCTTTCTTAAAGACCTAGACCATATAGCTCTCATGGGCAACATATAAAACAAACGAATCAAGGGTAGACCCCCCCCCCCCCCGGAGAGGCTGAACAGATTGGTGACGAAGAAAGATCAGAATAATTTTAATTGGCTTTTTCCTCTTAGAGCATCCGAGCACAGGACTGAATAAGGATCCTTGACCGCCGATATCTGTCTCAGATATGGCACTTGATGATGACGATGAGAGGCAACATTGATGTTTATCGAACCTATCCATAATTTTCTCAAGTACACACCCTCGTGACCACCCACCTGAACGCCGTGTCACCGATGTTTGCTTGACATTAGCGAGGCGTGTTCACAAAATGAGTTACTGCTAGCCAAACACAAATGGAGATGATGTGAGAACAAATATTTTAAAAACACCCAAAAAACCCCACACTTCAAAGAGGTTCAGTTAAAACTGACAGTTGCCCGTCCTCTCTGTGATAAGAAAATGGCACATGATGCAATCTCAGCAAAAATACTTCTGTTTTGTGATCTTCAAAATCCAACTAGAAATAGAGTCACCTGCGAGTCATTTTGTTAATTTTGATATGCTTGATCCGCTGGTTCCGAATTTGATACTAGAAATAGTATCAAATTCGGAACCAGCGTATCAAAATTAACAAAATGATTCGCGGGTGACTGTATTTTCTAGCTGGATTTTGAAGATCACAAAACATAAGTATTTTTGCTGAGATTGCATCATGTGCCATTTTATTACCACAAAATAGACCTAGGATGGACAACTGTCAGTTTTAAAAGAACGTGTAATAAAGGTAAAAGGCTGAAATCCTAGAACTGACTCATTTTGTCAGCACACCTCACATTAATTGTGAGCCTGGACCAAAGAGGTACATGTATTTGAAATACTAGAGCTCACAGCAGTGACGTCACGCATGTCATGGCCTCATCAGCATGGTCAGCGCCACCCATTTACATGAACAATCCGAGCCCCCATCCAGCTCCTGACGAGCTCTAGTATTACATTAAAAATCCACCTTGCACCTCATATTTCATTTCAAGCTTGTAGATTTCCTCTAAAGACCGCTGGGACCCCTCCACGCGAGTCTCGAAATTACACACGGGTCTGTTGAACTGCGCATGTCTTGCCCTTGAGGTTCAGCGTCCCAGAGTGGGTACATGCAGCCTCCGTTCGTTTTCGAGGGGGGACCTGGTCACCTGACTGCCATGAACTCTAGTACTACAGTGTAGTACAAAGTTGTTCCTGTGTCCGATCCGGACATTGGGGATTGCCTTGTTAGTGAGACAACTTCCTGGGCCTTCGGCATAATGTTGTGGTAGGATGGCCAGTTCCTTTCCACGCTGCCTTTACTTCCCCAACTCTAAGTCAGGTACCCATTACTGCTGGGTGGGCAGGAGGGGACGAAAAAAAGGTGTCCGAACCAGGGTTCGAACCACTTTGGAGACGAGCGCACTAACCGCTCCGCCACCACACCCTCCTAATACTAGTACTAAATAATATAACCTCTTTGGCCTGAACTCACTGACCACTTGGCCACTGGAAGCCCCCTCGACA